TCTTTCGAAAGATGCTTTCGAAAGAGCCTCTTTCGAAAGAAGCCTGCAGTCTAGACATAGCCCAAGTTGCATGGCTGCACAGCTTCATAGATGATTAATCAGCCTTGCCCAGTCAGAGGTCAGGGAGCTCACTGACTGGGTAGGGCTGATTAATCATACTGTGACGCTGCACTGCAGCACAGCTTAGAGGAAACATTGCTGGTGGCTCCCCCCGCCCACAGAGCAGCTTTACTGTGGGCCCTGGGAGTGGGTTCCCACAACCCAGGGAACCACAGCATGTAACCTGTGGCCAGGGAAGGGGGGCGGAGCACAGGAGCTGCTCCCACTGGCCAGAGCAGCCCCTGCTTGCAGTGGGCCACACAATGCTGGAGCAGCCCCCTGCTTAGGACAGGCGGGGAGCTGCTCCAGCCCCTACCGGTTAACCTTTTACATCCCTAGTAGCCCCTCAGTGGGAAGTGATGAAAATTTGGCAAGGGCAGATTGCTGGAGTACTGAAAGACATCTGCAAATTCTTGTTTCAAATTTGCCAAGTTAAGTTTTAGGTACAGTAAAATCCTCACCATTCATCGGGGTTGTGTTCCTGGAACCACCACAAATGGTGAAAAAAGGAAGTTACTCACCTTGTACAGTAACGACTGTTTTTTAAGGTGTGTCCCACCATGGGTGCACCACTGTTAGTGACGGGTGATCCCTGGAGCTGCAGTTCGGAGCTTTTTGTAGCAGTTGACAGTTGGGCTGCACACGTGCAGGAGGTGCCTCACACTGCTGATAGTTGGCACCTTGCGCAGCAGCCCAACCTCCCCCCCTTCAGTTCCTCGTCTATGCCCGAGTTACTGAAATCTCCAAGTAAAGGGGAGGAAGGAAGGAAGGGTCATGGAGCATCCATGGGGGGGGGGACACCTCAAAGAACAGTTGTTACTGCACAAGATTAGTAACTTCCTTTTCTTCTTCAGATGATGTCCCCATGGGTGCTCCACTGTTGGTAACTACAGAGCAGTATTCTGTGAGGATGGTGGGTCTCGGAGTTACTGCTTAGCGTCAGAAGATAGCACCGCTGTAGCCTCTGCTGTATCAATTGCTATTTGAGGCACGATAGCATAATGTCTACCAAAGGAATGATCAGATGACCATGTGACCATCTGGTATATGTTCTTGAGGAGGACACTGTTCGGAAAGCGGTAGATGTTGCAGCGGCACATGTGGCGGGTGCTCTAGATGGAGCTAGGAAGTGTTTATTCCGGAGAAAGTAACGATGTAGCATACAGGTTACTATCAACTTGGAAATGCACTGCATTGAAATCGGAGTGCCCTTGGAGTGGTTTGCAAGGAACAAGAAAAGTGGAGATTTGTGGAACTGTTGCGTTCTGTCAATGTAAAAAGCTAGAGCCCATTGTTACCCAGGAACTCAGTAACGACAATGAAATTGATAGAATTTGAACTAGTATCTGATCTCAATTTTGATTTTGTTCCTGACACCAGAAGCACAAGTCCCCCTGACAATTGTTTCTCTCACCAGTGGATTTCTTATGGACCCAATAAAAACACAACCCAGATATAAATTTAACCAATCTATTAAAGAATTAAAACAGTACACAACATATGACAACACAAACCAATGACCCCAGTACAACCAGTAAACAGTAAACTAACTCCACACCCTCAAACGAGAAGAGAGAAGATAGAAAAGGAATCCCCAAACACAACAAGGTAAGTTAAAATGCTTTACAGGTGTCTGTCTGGCTTCGATGGAAGATAACCCTTAGCAGACGGAGGGAAAGATGCAAGCAGCCTAGGACCTTCTACCATTCAGCAGGGAATCTGTTGTCTGGGAGGAACACTAGGTGATCCCACGGAGATGTTATTCAGGCTCAGGTCAATCATGGATTCAGGTCTGGCTTACAGAGGGCTTTCACCACAGGGACCAGGCCAGGATTCCAGAGCGGGCAAAGGAACCTAGGAGCTCTGCTGGATGTCCCCTAAACACAAATCCCCACACCCTTTGGTGGAGACTGAGAAGGGAGGCACCCACAGCAGCTCCGAGATTCCTCTCCCTTAGGCAGCTTCTATCTTGCAGCCAGATAGTAGGCCTCACTCAAGCCTTTGTCACAGAGTGACAGCAGGACAGGCAAGAAGCAGCAGGCAAGGGCCGAAAGATCAAGCAGCAAGGTTATTCAGAAGGAGCCAAGCCCCACCTCTCAGACTGACAGTCCTTTTAAAGTTCCTTAGGTGGGAAAAGCAGCAAGGGGGCTGAGTGCACTGTCTCTGTGCCATGTGCAAAATGTCCCGTGCCATGTGCAGCATAGTGCACCTCTGAGGTGATATCAGCTTGGCGGGAAAAACCGAATGAAACTGGCTTTTGGTGCAGGGCACAATCCAAGATGGAGTTGTTTGAAACAAGATGGAGTCTAGCATAACAAAATGGAGTCCATTATAATATACAGATCCTTACATTACCGAACATTTAAGTTGTGCAGGGTAGCATCTCTGTGGGATGTGTGAGGCTTTGGGTAGAACATAAGCAGGACTATGGGCTCTTAATATGGAAGGAGGTGCTGACTAAAGCACAAACTATGGGTGCAGGCTTAGGGTAACTTTGTCTTTAGTGAATATAGTATATGGCGGGCCCACCATGAGAGCCCCTATCTCACTAACCCTCCTCGCAGAGGTGATGGCCACCAAGAACAAAAATGCAAAGAATTGTTGAGTCCCCCCCCCTCAAAAAAGATGCTGCCCCTTTAAAAACCACGGGTTGGCTTTTTGGCCACATCAGCCATCTTGCCAAGGCCATTTTGCCGTGCCAGACAGCTCCCCTACACCCGGTGAGCACAGGGAGCCGGGGCCATTTGTAGGGGCACATGGGGTGGCTTTGTGAGCCACGGGAGAGGCTTCGCGAGCCACACTTTCAGGGGTGAAGAGCCGCAGGTTGGCCACTCCTGGTGTAGAGTGTGGGGTTGGAGGTGAAGTAGTTTGCTCCCGTTTTGAGACAGAAGGTCACGTTGAGCTGGTAATGGGAGATCAAGCCTGTCAACTGACATGTCCTGAAGGTATGGGAACCAAATCTGTCTGGACCATGATGGGGTATTAAGATGACTCGAGCTGTATCTGATCGAATTTTCCACAGGATCTTGGAGATTAGTAGGACTGGGGGAAATGCATAGCATAGAGGTTTGTTCCAGACAATTAGGAAGGCATCGCCATGGCTCTCTCACCCAGCTCTGCTCGAGAACAAAACTAGCAACACTTGGAATTGTCCTTGGTTGCAAAAAAGTTGTGACGGGGTGCACCAACCCCGCACTGGCCAGGGAAGGGTTAACTAGGCTTGCTGGGCTGAAAAGGCCCCTCCCCCGCAGCCCTGCTGGGCATGCTCTAACTTCAGAGGCAGTATAAAGGCCGCAAGAGCGGCTCAGTTGGGGCTGGTCACTGAAGGGGAAGGAGCTCCTGCAGTAGCAGAGGAGCAACTCCCTGGGCTGGGCCACCAGAGCCGCAACTGAGGCTGGAGCTGAAGCCCCAGCAACAACCGGAACCACAACCACTGCACCAGCCTGAGCCGCTGCCACTTCTGCTGCAGCCACTGTGCCCACCGCAGGTCTCCGCCACCGCACCAGCTGCCACGCCCGCTGCAGATGCCATACCTGTCACAGCTGCTGATGCTGCAGCTTTCGCTGAGCCAGGTGGGGTAACGGAGGCCAGCAGACAGGGATAGGAAGTAGCCCAGGGCAGGGAACAAGAAGCCTCCCAGAGAGCTCGGCATGCTTCAGGGGCAGCTCTTTGCTGAGCCAGTGATGGGAACCACCTACCACTGATTGGACTCTGGGCTAGAGCCCGGTGGGGGGAGAGGGCCTGGCTCCCCTACCCCACCCCTGCCACCACGCAGAGAGGGGAGCAATTCGTGCGAGCAATAAACCCAGCCAGTAGGCCATAGGTACCTTAGACTGGGGACGTCAGAGACTC